ACTTAGTGGGTATAAAATTTAAAAATGAATATCCAAAACTCTAAATTTATTCAATTTATAGAAATTCTTAATTTGATTTTACGATTTCTAAATTTTTTATTTTCAATGGTTGCAAAATTTTTAGAAATCAAAATTAAAAACTCAAAACCAAAACCATAGTATAGTTATAATTTTTGGTTTAAATAAATTAACTCAAATAACCAAATATGTAGCTCTAGTTAGCACTTGAGTAGGCAAATTTTGCAACTACTGAAAAAACTAAACTAAAGATAAAAAACTAACAATTTGCTTAAGAAGAATTTTAATTCTAACTACAAAAAATAAATTTATATAATAGTATTAAACTATTTTTGTTCCTTTTTTTAATAATTTTGATAATATGTTATAAAAACACATGAAAGTAATTGTAGGTTTAATTTTTATTTAGAGTTGCAAAATTTATAAAAAATCAAAATAAAAAATAAAAAATCATAACCATGACAAACAAAGTTTTAGTTGAGTCAATGAATTTGACAATAGTATTTTGATGTTTAAATAAAGCTGATTAATAACCATCCAAATAATGGACTCAAATAAAATTTGTTGAATATGGTTTTATCTAGATTAAACCAAAGCATAACAGAAAAGGAAAAAAAAAAAAAAGAAAGCTTAAGATTTCACTAAATTTAGTTATAATGGAATTAGGCTCAAAGCAAGAGATGATATAAAAAGGTAGACTATAGAAGTTAATAGGTTAATGATTTGTATCTACTTTTTTTCATTTTATATACTTTAATTAGAAAAACTTTGATTTGGGTCAAGGTCAAGGTTTAAAACCTCTACCATAACAAGCAGCTAATCATTTAATGCATTAAAAAAATATATTTATACTTCAACAAAAACTTACATGAATCAAAAAAACATGTTTAATTCTTCTTTCCTCTCCTTTTTTTCAGGTAATTGACGTGAATAACCCTAACTTATTTAATTTGTAACTGTTTGATTGAGACTTTATATCTTAATTTAAATCTTCCTTTATATCCCCTTTTTCATTTTATATAGATAAAGAAGAACTTAAGAGAATTAATATAAAAGAATATCAAAGGAAAAACAGGAATAAGATGTAAGATCTAGATGTTATACTTGTAAGTTTAACAAATGAAATTGAAAAAAATGATAATGATAATTAAATTAAACCAAACAAATTACAAATAACAGCAGATCTAGTTGCAAACTCAATTCCTTGGAGCCATAGCCATTGTCCTAAAAGAAAAACAAATTTTAAATATGATCACCTACAGACTACAGTCATATATATATTTAGTTAAAATACCTAAGAGAAAAACTCATAAAATTTGTTAAGTAACTACAAATTAATTAAGTAAAAGCACATTTAAAGATAAAGAAGCTAACAATTGCTAAAAGACGATTTCAGAATGAATAGATATTGGAGATTTTGAATAAAGTCAAGCTCTCGTAAAAATAAATAAATAAATAAATAAAATTTTTCATTTAATATATATACTTTAAAGACAACATAAACATATAAAATTAAGATAAAAGATTTAAATAGACAATATACTTAAAAATTCAGTAAAGGAACTTAAAGAAAATGGACACTGACAATCAAATTAGTTAAGCCAAATAAATTCGAAGCAGTAGCAGATCTACAAACCCAATTGCAAGCCAAACAGTGTCTGATTTTAAGAAAAGGCGAGCGAACAAAGGAGAAGAGCAAACTTAAAGAAGTGATTAGCTGTATATTTCCTGGAAGAAGCTTGGCGATATGACAATCAAACGGATATATATATAAAGTGATTCAAGAAGGTACAGGTAGTGTAAGGGAGTTACAATAATTAAAGCAAGCTGTAGCCAATTACAATAGAGACGTAGGAGCACATCTTTTCTCTAAGATTCTTCGCACATGTTTGAATGTGGGATTGTCTTGCACTAAGTCTTAATTAATTCTAAACTCCACAGGGCTTGAATTTATTGGTTAAGTGTCTTATTTAATGAGATTTGTGGTTTAAATTTTCAGATTAATTAATAATTAAATAAATTAATTTATTTAAATATATTAAGTTAATGTGGAGAATATCTTCTTAAAATTATATTAAAAATTAATTTTAAA